TTACACCCAAAAATTAAATACTTAGTTGCGCTATTAGAAAAAAAAACTTAAATTCCTAATTGTATCAAGATTAAATATTTAATTATGATATTAAAAAAAACTAGGTATCTAAAAAAATTCAACCTTACACATAAATATTATATGTGAAAATTAGATACCAAAAATTATATTTATTCAATTTTAATTACAAAACAGAGCCAACGATGTGATAAAGTTGTAAAGATAATAATAAGGAAAAAAACGTGAACCCATCAAGTGATCTAGTAGTAAAAGGGACGATAATTCTTTCAAGAATTCTTAAATTCTAATAGTTACGTCTCCTGAATATATGTGCAGATGAAGAAATAACGCCAGTTTAGTACCAAAAAATAAATAAAAATACATTGCAATTGGTTTTAAGATGATAAATCAACAATATCATCTTCTTCAGTCAATGAAAACCCTTACAGGGAAATTAATTCGACCATTAATAAAGAGATTACAAAACATGAAGAAAAGAATTACTACTGCACAAGCCTTTTGCTACTGTTTATTATGTCGGAAATATATATATATATATATTATGATGATGGAGGAGGTTCTGCTCCTGCTGGTTTTGCATTTAGGAGAGGCTGAAGAGCTTTGACGACGATCGTCATGTTTGGCCGAAAGTCTGCCTCGTACTGCACACAAAGTGCTGCAACTGCTGCTAGCTGTTTTTTTTCATGCAAATGCCCCAATTAACCATATACTATGTTAGAAATTAGTATATTTAGATGTTTCATTGAAGTTTAAAAGTGCAGTATGAAAACCAGAAAGTTATAGAGTAGAAGAGAGAAGGATTAATACCAAAATTAGCCCTCAATATTTATCAAAATTTTTATTTTGGCTCATATTTTTTTAGCATTTTGCCCTCCAACGTTTTATTTTAGGAGAAAAAGATTCATCCATATTTATAAAAAATATGGGCTTTTTATCCTAAAATGAAATGTTAGTGAGCCAAAATACTCCAGAATAAAAGAACAATTGTCAAAGTGATTATTTGGTTAAATGTTAGAGTCGTTTTTACCCTAAAATGTGACATTAGGGGCCAAGATACTCCAAAAAAAAAAAGGGTCAAAATGATCATTATAATATGTTGGGGGCTAATTTTGGCATTATGCCAAGAGAGAATTACAACCTTGGCAACTGCCTTTGGTGGGTAGTCATTGTTTAGCTTGGGGTCCACGCATTGTTTGACCTTATCTTCACTCAATCTTGGAGTTGCCTGACATCAATGGAAATGAGTTGGACACTTTTTTTTTTAAGTTAAACTGGATTTAGATTGCAGTAGCCATGAATGACATCAGATAAGAGTACATCCGATATAGAAGGCGAGGATTCATAAGCATAAGAGACAGATCTAGGTATTAATAATGCAAATATATATAAAGAGAAGGAAAAAAAACATACCCAAGTAACTAGACTTTGTTGTCCTTTGGGCATTGTATGATCTACTGGTTTTCTCCCTGTCAAGAGCTCAAGAAGAACAACTCCAAAACTGTACACATCACTTTTCTGAGTTATTTGCCCTGTCATAGCATACCTAGAAACAAAACCGAGTTTTTCGTAAAAAAACAAAACAAAGAGACGAAATAACATATATTCGAGTTTACATCCTCGCACCCCATACAAGATACGTGTCGAATACGAGATTCGTTTCAATCATATAATCGTAAAGAGATTGTATATAATGTGTTAAAATCGAAAGACTTACTCTGGGGCATGGTAGCCGAAGGTACCCAAGACTCTAGTGGAATGAAGCCGAGCTGCGGTATCTGAAGATTGATTCGTCAAGTTGAAATCGGCGATTTTGGCGACGAAATCCTCGAAAAGGAGCACATTGCTTGATCTGACATCACGATGGACGATGGAAGGCTGAACTTTCTCATGCAAATACTCTAGCCCTTTTGCAGCACCGAATGCAATCTTTACTCTTTCGTGCCATGTTAGAGCTGGTCCCGGTTCAGCCCCTTGTACCCCTTTCCTCCCTAATAAAAAATAAACATAATAAAAATGAATTATAATTCTTTTTTCTTTCTTTTACTTTTCCAGAAGAACGGTGAAACTGAGCATGTGTATTTTACCATGTAACACATCATGTAAAGAGCCCTTGGTTGCATGCTGATACACCAAGATCCTGTTATTATCCTCCAAACAATAACCCAACATCTCCACGAAATGGTCATGTTTAAGTCTCGAAATTATTGATAACTGTAAAAAATAACCATAAAATTTACAAGTCTATCGAGTATTTAAAATCATTTAAAATAAAAGATTTCCGACACCGTTTTAATGTGACAATTAAACAGAAAAAAGGGTTGAGTCATCGTTTTCACCTGTGCTCCGAAGTCAGAATCGGGTTCGGGAGAAGAACCGGTGTCGAGTTTCTTAATGGCTGCAGGCTGACCATCGCTTAGAACTCCATAGAAAACTCGGCCATAAGAACCCTCTCCGATCAGAGACTGTGTACCAAAGTTATTAGTCATCCGGTTCAACTCTTCTAATGGAATGGCTGGTATTTCAATGGGTAGAGTTTTCTGAGAACCTGCCCCACTTTGAGTAGTTGGGCCGCCCCTCGGCTCTCCTCTTCCTCTTCCACTCGCTGTAAAAAAAACAATAATAAATAAACCGCAATTAGAGCATTGTATAAGGACTAAAATCATAATTTAACCAAAATAGAGAATCGGGGCAATGGGGGGAGCAAGTACCGGCACCGTATTGACCAGGCGGGGCTTGATATTGGTTCGGCGGTGGATGGTCGAGTTCCTCCTCCGCACCTCCGCAGCACGACATAGCTTAGGATATTAAATTGTCAATTTTTTCATATAGTTTAACTCTTTTCGTTTGAATTCAAAGCTAAAATCAAACCATTTTTTTCCTACATGGCAAATAAAAACGTAGCAATATCAAATCTACACATCGAGATCATTCAAATTCCAGCACTAAAGCATCGGAGACATACCTGAAAAGCAAAAAGGAAAACAATACCCAAAGGGGAAAAAGGAATAAGGTAGCTATGAGAGGGTGGGTTGGAGGGGGAGGGTAATGACAGAGAAGAAGAAAAAAGCAGAAATAAAAACAAAATCTTTATATGTTGGGGGAATACATAAAAGGATTGAAAGAATTCTTGAAACGCTGTTTTGTTCTTCTTCTTCTTTTAGGTTAATTCCCTCTTTGCTCTGTTTTGGAACAGACACACATGTTTTTTTCATTGTTCTCCGAGGAACTCGGGTCTCTTTATAGTGTAACCGTTAATCTTAAAACTAACCTAATTCTACGTGGATTCACGTTTGCATGTCTCATAATTCAATTCTATTTTTCTTATTTTCTATTAGTAGTATTGTAACTTCACAATTAAAATACTCATGTAGAATATGGAAATAGTTTTCTATTTTTTGTTTATACGTTAGGGTTGGAATCCTTTCAATTTGAGGATCGTATAGATCGTAAGATGCATGAACTTTTCTTAATTAGGATTTTGTTGGATGTGTATCGGTTTAATCGGGGTTGTCCATGTTTCTTATTATTAGTCAGCAACAGGTCCAAAGTTTCTTGGCTGGGATGCCACCTTTTTAATGATTAAGAAAGTCCCATTTTTATTACATTCTTAATGAACTTGTAGTTATGATAATATTATAATTCTTTTTTGGGTAAACTATATAAATAGTCTCTAAACTTTTTGACAACTCGTAGTTGGTCACCAAAATTTTAAAACTTGTAATTCAATCATTGAATTTTTAATTCGTGTTTATCACGGTCACTGTCCTCAGTAGATGTTAAACAATGTTTATGTGACACGTTAAGGTGTGTTCTTCTCTCAAAACATTAAGTTTCTCAAACTTGAAATTGATAGTTGTCGCTCTTCATTTCATCTTCGCTTTTTGTTTTTGTTCAATGTTTTCTTTAATCAAAAAGATTATGGAACCACTCCTTTTCTTATTGTTCTTTTTCTTTTCATCGGTTTCAAACTCGACGAAAAATCTTTTAATCTCCTCAAAGTTCAACTGAAACTAAAAGTTAAAACTTTTTTATTCATCACTATCAATTGTTGGATCAACTTGAAATTAAACTATGTTAATCTTTTGACTAAACGAAGTATTTTCACCATTGGGATTGATCGACGATGACTTTGATCATCGAAAACTTGCCAAGGCTGAAATGTGTAATTTTCCTTTTTCTCATTTTTCCTTTACTTCTTTGATTGTTTTTGTTGTTGTTTATTGCCTGATGCTATTGATGGTTGTGGATGGTGATCGAATAAGATTGATGGTTTTGGAACTGGATTGTTCGGATCGTGAATGGTGGTTGTAGCTTGAGGTTGTGGTGGACTTGGATGCAATGATGGTGATGAATGATTTGTTGACAGTTTTGGGAAGATGATGAAGTTTTTAAGTATGATAAGCGTCGTCTTTAGAGGTGTCAATGACGAGAAGAAGATCTGATGGTGATGACACGTGCAAAAAGAAATCACTAGTGTCTGTCGATTAGTATGAGAAACTTGAAATTTTTTAGGAATAAGATTTTAACGTTTCAAGTCAAAAAAAATTCGAGGACAACAACCGTAAATAAAAATGAATTAAAAGTTTGGCAACCAAAATATAAGCTATCAAAAGTTTGGGGACTCATTTACGTAGTTTATCATTCTTAAATTTGTTAACATTAAAGAAAAACATGGGCCTCTGTCATGGAGACAAGCACGTCTTCTCCACTCCAACGTCTGTCTATCCACGAGACAAATACTGTTTTAATACATTAACTTTTTGTTTATCACAATCGTGTACCAAATTTGAATTGGAATTTGGAACAACACTTTTCTGACTCATTATAAAATAAAATTCATAATTACACTAAATAAAACTTTACGATTATATTAAATTAAAGATTGTATTAGATAAATAAATTAATTTCTTCCTCTCTAAAGAGAAAAAAAGGGGAATTCTAGCATGCCAAAAACAGTTAAAAAATTATAATAAAAGGGGTGCATTCATTATGCATTTTTACAGGTCACATCCAATGATTTGATCAAGTGGCCTGGCGTGCTCGGTGATGGCTCCAGGTCACATGTGTTAGTAGAGGAGAGAAAGGGTGGGTATCCTCTAGTGTTGGCTGCCGGTGGCGGAGGTCTTGGCAGTGGCGACGCGCTCACACGACGGGCACATGGTGAGGGTGGTGGCGGGTGAGTTCATGTAAAAAGGTTGAGAATTTTTCAAAGCTCTTAATTCTTGGAGTTCCTTTTGTAACCTCTTGTTTTCTTCTCTCAGGGTCCCACAACATCGCTTTAAATACTCACAATCTACCTCTGTCTGCTTCAGCTTTGTTCTGTTTTATCATAATTATTATTTTAATAAATTCATATAAAAAAATAGGTCAATTTTTTTATTATTCCTCTTCATATTTTAAAAATTGGTAAACTATGTATTTAGTCACCCAACTATTACTTTGGTTCCGTTTCAGTCACCCAACTATTTTGTTTTTCAAAATCATCACTAAAGTTACATTTTAGTTTCATTTCAATCACACATAGTTAAAAAAATTAATAGAACTACTGATGTGATGTTTTTATTATTTTTTTCAATGATGATTTGATATTACCTTATGGTGACATGTTTAATTTTTTATTTTTTTAACAACTGGTGACCAAAATGAAACCAAAACATAACGATAGTGATGATTTTGAAATAAATAGTTGAGTGACAAGAACTGAACCAAAGTAATAGTTGGGTGACTAAAGACATGGTTTACTCTTTATAAATTTGACAACAGAATACCTTGCCCTTCTATTCTGAAACCAAACTTCCACTTGTCGAGGACGAAGATTTAATTCCTTGGCCAAGGCAAGCTTTTGCTTCTAAAAAAACATCACAAGAGAATGTTGGAACAAATTAGCATCCTTAAACAAGGAGACATAGTTTTTCTTTTCATTTTTATTCTATTCTTTTACTTACAGTATTCAGAGTGTTGTGTTCTTTGAAACTTTCTTCCAGGAAAGCAGATTGTTCTTTAGAGAGCCTGAGTTTCTTCCTAGTTGACCCGTTCAACTCGTCATCTTCATCACTCGCTCTTTCAGCTTCAACGCCTTTTAGGTCTCTCTTCCCTCTGTTAGTGTTACTCCCATTTCTAATCCCGAAATCCATTTGAAATGACGACACCGTGCTGTTCGGAGATGAAACCGCCGCTCCTTCCTCGGATTCCTCCGTAACCGCCAGTGGCAACAGGTTCACGTCTAACCCTCGGCCGTCTCCATCTAACGTAATAATGACAAGGTTAATAACAAAAAAAAAACAGATCTAAAAGCATCTCATATCATTTTTAGGGCAGATGAAAATACTGACGATTTTCAGTGAGGCAAGGAAAACGAAGGTGAAGAGGTGGATCCGAAGGAACCCTTGTTTCATCTCCGTATTTAGTACCTCCAACTCCAAGCCCCATGCAAAACCCTAGATCCTTGCTTCTCGATATCTGTGGGGATTTCTCAAGAAACCCCAAACCCAAACTCAAAGCTAACTCCATCTCTAGTCTTTTTTTTTTTTCAAAAACTAAAAACCAACTATGAATATGCTGTATGGTTCATTTACAGAGAAAGATATTGATATATATACCATAAAAAAGAGAGTTAAAGAAAGAGAAGCCATGAGTGTAGTTTAATGGAAGATTGGTGAAGACATAAGACCCACCATCCCTTTTTCATTTTGCCTTGTGTGAGTAAAAAGATTTGACCGACAAATCCAGATGCACGTGATATCTATATAAATTATTTTTGCAATTTTTTAATTTTTTATCGTTTTTAAAATACTTTTAGTATTTAATATTCATTATCATATATATATATATATATATCGGAGGTCTCCTACCGAAGTTGTTCTCAACTTAGTGTTGGGGGCAGCCTACTATCTTACCTCCCTCTTACCTCATTACATATGTGAACAAGAGACAACCAAATTATAATATATATATATATATATATATATTTGTATCTATTTTAACAATTTTAAGTCAGAAATTCCCAGCTACCACTTTAAAAAATAGCAGCATCCATTAATGAATTAATGGCGCAATAACTTGACAAGGTTAGTGATTATTAAGTTGTCACCAAACAAGGACAGGAAAATCACGTATCATCATCATCACCCCAACATAAGAGATTTTTCATCAAATATTCTTCCACCCTTTGTGACCCAACTTGAAATTTGTCTACTTCATTATGATGAGAGTGAAATAAATTAATGATTGAAATGTGTTGTTTTACCAAACACAATTATTTTCACCGTTTGTTGTTGTGTTTTTTGGGAAATGATGATGCCCATTTTAATACAAAGATTTGCTGCTTTCCAACTGGTCAATTAACGTATCTTCCAATGACATCAACATTTTCAAATACGAAAAAGGATTCAATTGTTAACTTTTTCTTAATGAAGTTTTATAATATTACAGATCAATTATGTCACTTTTGTAGAGATAAAGTAATTTATCCTACATCGAAAAAAAAAGATATTATAAAATTTAAAAGATGATTACGTTGTATATCTTATTAAATGTTATATTTTTTGAGAAGAGGATAATAATTTGTTACAGTAACATTAAGAGTAAAATATGTATTTAGTCATTCAATTATCATTTTGATTATCCATTTTTTTAAATAAATAAATAAATCAATAGAACTCGAGATGTGATAATTTTTATTTTTTTTCAATGAAGGCGTGACATTATTTTACAGTGACACATCAGCATCACCGTTAATTTTTTAACAGTTAGTGACTAAAAACAGAAACAAAATGATAGTGAAGTGACTAGATACGTAATTTACCCTAACTTTTAACATTCAATTTTATTGTTTATATTTTTACTAATTTCTTCAAAAAAGAAATATACAAACACCAAATAACTTACATTGTAATAGGTGGACTAATTTTCTATTAAATCCATAACGCAAGGACACATTTGATAATTTTAAGGTTAACAATTAATATTGAAATTTATGAATAAAAATTTATGATTAAACTAAAATGTAAGAATATCTTATACAATTAACTCTTCAGTATAATAATATTGATTCCAATTTTTTGTCAAAAATCCAATAACATATTTTTAAATTTAAACTAGAGATTAAATTGTCATAAATCGAATTAGTTAGAAAATTAATATTTTTTTCAAAATTTCTATAACATTTATACTTCATGGGCGAGGGCCTATGCAGAAAAAGGAGAAAAATTACTTGTTTATCGTTCCAATTTATAGTTATTTTACAAGTTATAGCAAAACAATACTTGCAAGCTCTTATCTTTTAGTTTATATTTAATAAAAAATTTATTCCAAGTAAAGGAATGAATTATGTTAGGATTTTTTTTTAAAAAAGTAGTTATTCTTATTAAAAAAGTGAAAATATCTAAAATTATAATAAGAGTTTATAAACATCATCATAAATTAAATGTATAATTTAGACATTTTCTTATAACATTGACACAAAAACGAGTCACTTTAGATCATACAAGGACTGCACATGGAAAAGATTAAAAACTCGATCAAAAGAATCGAACAAAAAATATATACAAATAAATATGATTGCATCGACAAACGAGTCACAAAAGGGGATTAAGCTATTGAAAGATCACCGAGAATCGTAAATCAGAGTCGAGCATCGTGAGAAACTATCCACGAACGTAGACCTCGCGTATCCAAATTCAATCCAAGGGTCCAGAGCAAGAGAGAATTGCAGGATTACGAATAAGTGTCATCTTGACCAGTCTTGGCGTCATCAAATTCAACCCTAAGAAAATAGAAAATAAAAAAGAATGACCAGATGAACAAGAAAAAAGACGAAAAACGTATCACAAAAACAGAGAAACACGTATCATAAAGGCATAATTAATTTTATTTAAAACTAAAAAATAGAAAACGACAAAGAGAACCAACATTAATTTTATGTGATCAGTTTTGATTGTAGGGTGGTAAAAGACAATCGATAGCAATATAATATAGTGGTGGTGATTGATTATCAATAATCAAATAGAATCATGAAATAAAGTGGAATAATTATGGAGTAAGTGCAAATAATTCACAGACAAATATTAATTAGATACATAATAATGGTTTCTCGGCTGCTGTCGCCTACTAATTGTGACAGTAAAATATCATCGCAAGAATCATGTGTGACCCTATTGTATTTGGACTAATGACCTGATTATTACTTTATGTAACATTACAGCTTCACTTAATTTAGATTTTACAAACATCGTAAGCCCCACTAACATATACTTAAGTAAATCGAGATCATACACTTTATGACAAAGCCAAATTTTTTAGTCCATCTCATTAACTTATCGATTTCATCAAATGCTTTTTAATTAGTTAATTGATATGAACGACCAAATTTTTATATATTTAAATAGAATTTAAATTAAAATAGTATATGATTAGGAAAAAAATTGAATACATACATATGCATGTAGTTTTATTTTTTATTTTGTTAATTTGATATTATCTACTCATCAATGTAAACTAAATAAATAAATAAAATTGATGTGTTGAAAATACATATTTTCAACCCTCCTTTCTTTTTTTTTTATATAAATTTGATAAAAATAAGGTAGTATTTGTTTAATTTTTTTTAATTATTTGACAATGAATGTTTATATTCTTACATACGCGATGCTCGAACCTAAAACCTCATAAAATAACAACAAAACATTAATTAATAAAATTGTTTAGTTCGTACAAAAGAAAGACTTTTTACATGTTCTCTTCCCGGACATAATTATTAAGCATTTTGACATGCTTCCTTTCATTATTATATTCATCTTCCTCCATCATCATCATCGTATTGGATGTTGTTTTGATGTTGAGAAAGCATGGGACAAAAGACCCCAAAAAATTGCAGCATTCTTATTTTAGTGAAAACAAATCATCATCATCCTTCATCTTAGGCTTATAATAATTTAACCTTTTTCTCTTGCAAAATTCATGTTGAACGAATAAATAATTTATGTCATTTTTTAGAAAAATATAGTTTTTCCTTTTTAGCAATTTCTATATTACAAAAATCTCATTTCCACCCATTAATCAGATGATATTAAACGTTTAAACATGTTTGATCCTACGTCTTTCTTTATATTTTACCAACAACATGTCAATTAAAATAACTCAATTACTTAAAAATATTGTAATTATTCATATAAAATATATACAAAATTAATAAAATACCAATCCAACAATTACTTATAAAATAATTATTTAAACATTTCATTACTCTATTACTAAAAATAGCATACATCAATTCTTCAATATTTTAATTTTTTTTGCTAATTATTCATCAATATAATGTCTTTTAATTCAACAATAAATGTTAAACTTTATAAAAATATATATTCAAAATTTCTATAATCAATATAAGATCCAATATCCTATGGAACAAAATTTAACAAAAATATCAACACAAAATTATTTCATCTATAAGACCAAAGATGCAGCTGTTGATTTTTAGAAAGTAATAATGAGGAATATTGACCATTTTTTCATGCCTTCAAACATACTTCACTCCTCTGCTCAATCATTCTCTTTGAATCCGATTATCATTAACTTAATTTCTTTCTAGTTTTTCAAGCTTTCAATGCTTTCTCAATCATTCTTGCTCTTATTACTACTATTAACTATTATTGCCATTATTATTGTTATTAGGATAAATTATAGATTCATCTTTCAATTTTACTCTCAATCTTATTTTAATCACTGAAGTTTAAGAAAATCAATTTAATCACTAAATTTTCGAATCATTCATGTTTTGGTCATTTTATTATTAAATAGCTAACGATATTATGACATGACAGACGACACTAAAATAATGTTATTTTAAAAAAACTAAATTTATTTCAAAACTACCTTATTTTGGATCTCTACGAAATTCATTTTCTTCTCTCTTTTTTCATTTTCACACTCTTCTTTTTTTCTTCCTTTCATTTTCTCTCAATCTATCTAAATTCTGACTACCGCGTCGACCACCATAGACTCTATAAACACAAATTCAATGTTTGTTTTAAAAAAAATCTCAAAATCTATAAACAGAAATATAGTGTTCCTCAGTCTCAAAAGATCTCTTCACTATTCTTTAGAAGTCACTAAATATAAACTTACTTTCTTTCTTTCTTTTTCAGTTTAATTTCATCAGTTAAGATTTTTAAGAGTTGATATTAAACTCTTGCAGCAAAATGTGCTCTGTCACCCTCATCGAATGATGGAGCTTAGAGATGAATCAAGGGGGAGTCAACGGGGACAGTCGGTCCCTTCAAAGTTTTAAAACATCATATTGTTTAGATATTTTTTTATATTTTCTATTGATGATTTGTTTAATTTGCTCCGAAAATTTTATAAATTCGTCTCCCATTAAAATTTAAAAAATGTGTCCCTAAAATAAAATTATGCACCTATCCCTACTGAAACTGTATTCATTGTCAGTGTTTTTAGCACCATCATTGGCTTCTCCGTTACTGTTTCTCTTACTACTTTCTCCAGGCATTACA